GGTAAGAACAAATTATGCATAATCACGCAGACTTTGGTGTTATCTGCTGAGCATGAAGAAGTCAGTCATGCAATAATTTGTATTGGGGGGTGCGTGTGTTGAAACGTTCAAGTACTTAGAAAAGTAAAACGCCAATATACCAAACTTCACTTTTTTCTTTATGAAAGTTCTGCCTGTGAAGAGTTTGATTTTAATGGTGAGAAAACTCGACCTAGATGAACTAATCTGAAACCAAACATCGCCAGAGAAAGTTCTGATGGTTATTAACTTATCATGTGTTTATGTGAAATTAGCTTTCCAGATGACAAATTCAACCGGTTGTGGCATCCATTTAAGGATCAAAACCCTGCTGTGATAAGCCTATCAAACGTAAATTATTCAGATTTCCGGAATCTCCTACCAGCTGAAGCATTCAAATCTGGAATTACCACAAGCAGAGGGAACAGACTTGAAATTCAGTGGCCGGCTGTGTCCTACTGCTATATTTATTTCTATTTGCCGGACAGCAGGAGTCCAAATCCTTCCAGCTGGAGAGTCTTTGATGTTGCTATTAATGGTCGGGCCTACTGCCTCAAACTTAACGCTACAGTCAAAGTGTCACACTGTATGCTCAGGAGTGGCCACTTTCTAATGAGAAAAAAAACACAAGCCAGTAGTTTATATGCAGCAAAAATAAATTCTCATCCACCTGCTAGAATTTTAGAGGAAAAAATATAACAAATATATGGTAAAAAAAAAAATAGCACAAATTTAATCAGAGACATTGGAAATTATTAACGAAAAACCATTCAATACAAGAGTAAAATCCACATGTCATCTAGACCAATGAAGAACAACTCCACTATGATCAACATAGAATACAAGAGAGTCTCAATCAGATGTATAAACAAGTGCAAACAATCAGCCAAAACACCAAATCAATGGGTTTATAAACGAGGATGAAGAAGATGAAAAAACACCAACCTAAAGGCTGTAGTGTGAACAGAATATCTCACATACCAAGCAACGAATCAATGATCACACTGTTGAAAATTACGCATTGGATGTTGTGAACCGGCGCACCAAATTTCATCTCGATCTAATGGTGAAATAATCCATAACCATGGATTCACCAAATCTGTCATGTGAATATGCGAAAATGACCCTCTCTTCTTATCTTTTAAATGGCTGCACATAAAACTGAATACGACCTCTCTCACATTACCTAATCTGACCATTCTCCACTTTACTTAGTGAGACTCACAATGAGCTTTAATATTGGGCCTTTCTCCACATAAGAAGGAGCCCAAACCCAACATTTTCTGGGATGACCAATATCACAAGTGCCCCAGCAGATAGTATGCTGTTGGACCCGTAATCAATGGTGGAGAAATTTTGCAGATTCTTCCGCTTGGACAACAGACTCTGCCAAGGGACGGTAAGTTCTAGAGTGATTCATAGGCAGGCTTAATTTACTAAACTAAGTAAGTCAACCGTTAATAAATATGAAAGCATATGATCATAAGTGAATCATACTAAATATGCTATGTACTCTACATGCTTATATGCATACTTATATTTCTTTTTTTTTTTTTTGAGCAAAATATGCATACTTATATTTCATAGACAGCGTTTACTGAAGGAATTTCCTAACCTATATAGATGTCAGTACTCTAATGCTTTTGACTAAACTCACAATCATGAAGCTATTTGTTTACATCCTTTAATTGTTATGGTAATATATAGCGATGGCAATGGAAAGTTTGGCAAGGTGCATTAAGAATGCACCTCCTGACTGGAGCAGTGATCCTTGCCTACCGAAAGAGAACTCATGGACTGGAGTTACATGCTCTAATAAAAAAGCTGTTCGAGTCATCTCAGTGTGAGGTCACTTAACCTTATAGACGAAGTGTGCCTGATTCTGTTCATATAAATCATGTAAAGCCCTTCATGTTTAACGGTGGATTCACATGTTTTGGTTTGAATGTGAAGGGAGTTAACAAATGCAGGGCATTCTGAGTCTCTCCCTTCAAACATTGCCAAACTAAGTACAATTACTCAAAAGTGAGGAATCTAGCCATTTGAAAACCAAGTAATCAATTCCCTTATGTTCTGTTGCAACTAAAGCACTGAATCTTCGTTCTTTGTGATCTAAATATTTGATTACAGTTGGCTTGGGGGAAACAACATCTCAGGCGCTGTTCCTGACTTAAGTGGGATGAAGGAGCTACAGACTTTGTATGTGAACCAAAAGATGCTTCATCTTCAATTCTTTTCTCTTGATAGTTACTGAGATTTCTTAAACTTTCTTCATTACCCTGATGTTATTTCAACCATTTTCCTCGATCACTTTCTACAATGCAAGACATTTGGAAAACAATAACCTCAAAGGATCAATTCCTCCATCACTAGGGAAAATCCCAAAACTGCGTGAGATGTAAGATTTTGCCATTGCAGGGCAAAAAATTAACATACCGTTGCTCTTCTTCTTTCTTTTATTGTATCTTTTTTCGCTAACCATGTGAACTGTGTGGTTTTGGTTTACCAGATTTCCCAAAAATAACAAACTTGATGGGAAAATTCCTGAAGGACTCGAAAAGAGAGTAGTCAAAATATAAGCAAGCACAGCTGATTTTTCCTTATTACTATGGCTAAGCACCCAGCAAGACATGGCTTGAAATTGCTGCAAATAAAAACTGCTGTAAGTTTTGAACATCTGAAGCATAAGTCTTACGTTGCTTTACTGATATCGTGTCTTTCCTGATTTAGAGTGGTCCCTGATGATCATAGATCAGAATCAGAATAATGTCAAAGCAAAGAAGAGGAGTAATTCACTCATGTTTTCTATGTGAGCATGCGATTGAGAAGCCTGTATCGGAGTTCAATAATACTATACAAATTGCCTAAAGAGACGTGTGTTAGCAATAGCAAGAAAAATCATACTATGAGTCGTACTTAAAGACACAGTTTTTAAAAACTACTCCACCACACTGAATTGATTGCATGATAGCTTCTAATAATTCAGCAGACTTTTTCTACTAAGAACAGGGACATAAAACAACAGAAATTTGCAAAAATAAACTCAAGCAACAGCATAAATGAATGAAGCAATATAATAGAAGAGGAAAGAAAGCCTAAAAGTTCAAAAGCCTTTTTTGAATCTATGGCAAGTACTACTTATTATAGGCAATAACCTAAAAAAACAAACCAAGCAATAAAATTATCTTAATTATATTTAAAAATTCATTACAAAAATAATGAGGTTAAATAAATAAATTTAAGTGAGGGTTATAGTAATTGATATTATTAAATTATAATATTTTTTTTAAATATTCATGAATATTTTATAATATCCAACAAAGTGACTACAGATAATGGCTTATAGAGAATTGGCACCAAATGCAATATATTCAACTTGTTTAGATTAGATTTCTGCTTTCATATTATTCTCACGAATGTAAATCAAAAGAAATGCTCTGAAGACAGTATAAATTAACAATGAATGCAGAATGCAGATTCTAGTTTATTTGCATTTTCCTGAAATCTTTATCGGAGGGAAGTTGGGTGACTCTCCAAATTTGGCCTTTAACCTATAAAGCCACTAGTTGGGCCCAGTAGAACTTATCAAACCACGGGGTCTGAATGTTTTCTTCAAGAAAGGATTCGAAACTCTTTAGTGATGAGAACTCCATGATTCCTATAAGATCGAACAGAAAGAATTGTTGGAAGGCAGGGAAAATTCTAGCACTTGATGTACTGCAAGGCTCTTCAACATTTCCTCTGAGCACCCATCCTTGTAATCTGCTAGCAAATGTCGGAATCATATCCTTCGTAAAACAAGCGAATCTTTCTAGACAATTTTCCTCGTGTTGTCCTTTTTGGGCCGGAATTTTAATTTGTCCCAGAACTTATCTCTCTTGCACGTCCGTGCCTCATGTGCATTTGCTTGGATAAAATATTCCTCCAAGAGTGAAGATTAAATTAAATCATTGATTAAACTCATCATTCGTTAATAATATTCTTTTAAATTTAGTTTTTTTAAAAAAATTATACTTATAAAATATTAGCTGTCTCATTAATATCAAAGATATAAGAAATCACATTATTCAAACTCCACATAATTCAGACCAAAAAAGAAACTCCACATAATTTATTGGCTTGGGCTTTGTGTAACTTTCTTTCCTTTCAATCTTTTTCTCTAAACAATTTAATAGAGTTTATATGTTTTTTAAAAAAATATAATCATTAGTCAAAAGTCAGTTATTATTTATCCAAAAGACATCTAATCAGATAATGGTTAGTATGTAATATCCTTTTTAGTTGTTTGATGGATCATGTTCATCGAAAACCATGTTGAAGGAACTAACTATAAGTATAGGAGAATATAAGTTAAGGTCTGCTGATACTTTGAGCTGGCGTCATATCAATTTGATTTGACTTGATGTTGATGAGGCTGCCAATTAATTTGGAGAAATGTCTTTGTGATGGTTTTGATTTGGGATCAACAAGCTAACTTTGTGAACGAATTATGTATTGTATAAGATTGGCTCAGCAAGCTGTCTCATCATTGAATTAAAAGAAATCCTTGGAGGGTTAAAGTTTAGTTAATAAGGGGTTTAGAAGGTCACTTTTAGCTTTAGATTTGGCATATCAAATTTGAGCATGCTCATAATAGTGTAGGGGTTAATTGGGATAGATATACTACAGTTTTTTTATCTTATAATTTATATGATTTGATAATATTTTTAGATATATTTTATCATATTGATTCAAATTCAAGTATTATTAGGTAAAAGTAAAATTGAAAATGGTTTCAAAATTTTGTGTTCAAGTAGTTTTGTAAGCATCCTTCCACTAAAAGTAATCGTATTTAAGTCACGATTAAAATTAAATATAAGTGGTACCTCTACTCAAACTAGGATCATATCATTTATCATCCTTCTAATAAAAGAAATATTATATTTAAAAAAAATGATATTTTGAGAATTAAGGAGCATCAACACCAACAACGCGAACGGAATTGGTCTATCGGAATTGGATAGAGAAAGGGCCACACCGGCCAATGGTAAATGCTGAAGCTTTCCACTTTCCACTGTACTGTTGAGCATAATCTATATAAATCATCTGTACCTTCGTCATAGAATCAAATCCATCAGACACTACCATTTTCTCTGAATTCTCAATCTTCCCTTTGGATTCCCATATCCCACGCACACATTAAACGTGGGTTAACTTTCTAATGTTCTCTCCCAATACAGCCACCCTTTTCTATCCCTTTAAGCCCTCGCTCTCCTGCCGCGTCCCATCGTCCGCCTTCCGCTGCCGTGCCGCCGCTGGAGATGTCTTGCCTGGACCCTCATTTCCTCGGTGGTTCCAATCCCTGGCTTCAGCTGTTGGAGTCACCGGAGGTGTGAGAATTGGCGAAGATGTCGATAAAGGAGGCGTCACGGACGGTGGAGTTGCTGCGAGACGCGCCGGCGGGAATGATGGCATTAGAGTGAAGGCGAAGGAGAGGAAATGGTCGCGTAATACTGATAGCTACTTGGCGGATGATAGTGACGCTCTTCCACTTCCTATGACGTACCCAGATTCCTCGCCGGTTTCTGCTGAAGAGATTGATAAGCGGCTTAGATGCGATCCCCAAGTGGAGGTTAATTTCCTTTTCCCGCTTTCCCTCTATCGACCTGTGTATTTGTGTTCCTGAGTGTGGAGAATTGTATTTGGGTAATGGGAGACTAGGGGGTATTAGGACTTAATCTCGCTATGTCTTCCTTTCGGCATTTTTTCTCGTTGTAACGAAATTAAAGAGATACACTTTTCTCTTCTTTTATCCTTTGACTTGTAGGACTGTAAAGAAGTGGTCTATGAATGGACTGGCAAGTGCCGTAGTTGCCAAGGGTCCGGATATGTGAGCTACTATAGCAAAAGGGGCAAAGCGACTACCTGCAAATGCATTCCTTGCATGGGAATTGGTACTGTTCTCTTTGCTATTGGCATGTACATGTACATCCTTGATGTTTTTATTAAGTCTTGTTTGTTCCTTTTTAGACCAATGTAATTCGCTCTCTTGTTTTTCCAATTCTAGGCTGAACTGAACTGAAAGACATCGTAACTGTATATTAGGGGGGGTGGGGGGGGGGAGAGGGGGCTATTAGTAATAAAGTTGAGAAGGGATGTTTTAAAACAAATATTGAACTCCAAGGTCCGACATTCTCTTGTAAAAAGGTCATTGCTGCACAAACATGTTAGTCATTTATGCTTGTAACATAACCGGAATGCCCTTTATGCTAAATGAGTTACACCACAGCACCAATTTATGTGTAGAATGAGTATTGTGCTGTGCTTTCATGGTGTGTTCTTTTGGTCTTTCCTCATCTCTATTTTGTTTCAAGCTGATCATTCTGAGAGCATGTTTGTATGAAGTTAGCCGATGGAAAATCTTTACCTTGTAGTACTTTTGTTAATTGATTTTGTGTGCTCTTCGATTCTAAGGCTGCAGCTCTCTTGGCAGCAATATTTTCACATGTTGTTAACAGTTATGTGTATTTTGGTTAGATGCATCAATTGTGATCCTAGAAACACGATTCTTTTCATTTTTTTTGTTTTGTGTCTAATTTTCTCCCCATTATAAGAGCGCAACGCCATGCAACCACACTGTTGTGTATACATATGATATGATATGATATGTATAGAAATAGATAATCATCAGTTTTAATTTGTAAGATATACAGCGTTTTACTTTGTGGCATATCTGAATCTAGGTATGCTTGAGGGCATCATTCTTTGAACACAATGGCCAATCGAATTATGATGATTCTAAGAAATCCTAAATATTTTAGCTGTAACTATCTTGGATTTTTTTGCTTGATAAGCATCTAATATTTAATAATACAATAGGTATCAGGAAAAAATCGGCAATGTTGTCATCATTTTATCTCACTTGTTAGCTATGTATGATATATCTGCAGTCAAGGGTACATGCTACTTTGAAGCATGAAGCATTAGTGAAGATTTTGCAGTTTCTGAAACTTCCGCATTGAATGCACCTTGATTGTGGGTTTGTGTTCTATTGCATCGTTTCATGCTTTTAGCCTTTCCCTGTCCATGTTATGCAATGTGCGGCAGGGGAAAGCCATCTTTCCATAATATGGATTTGGAGTCTCTGAACCCCCCCCCCTTAAAAGTTCAGCTAATTATAAGTGAGAGATGTTGAACTTTATAGTTGGTTTGAGTCCTTGCTATGTTATAGATTATTCACTATCCCTGGTACCTTTGAATGCGCTGGAAGGAATTAGAAATTCTTTCTATGTGAGATAATTCTCGATTTTACCAAGTGAACACCGACATATCTTTTTCCCCCCCTGTTTGGAAGTTGCAAGCTTATCTTATTAGTATTTTTTTTTGGATATTATTTTAAATTCTGTCTGGATCCTGTTTGTCGCTTTTTTTACGTTACTATGTTGAATATTTAAAATTCCATAAAGGATGTTCTATTATACGGTTTTGCATATACAAAGGTAAACCATGTGAGAATAGTTGATGATGTTGAGGCTTTAATTTAAAATTTATTCAGGGTAAGAGAAATTGTATGAGTTGTGGACCAGTAATTCTTGTTTCAGTTATTTCCACCCCTTCACTGTGCAGGCTATATCATTTTTTTGGTCATTTTAAAGTTACTCTTGGAACTATGTCTGAGTATGGACAATGGATCTTTTCCCTTCCCAACTGTGACTTTCAGGGGAATTACGTGATGTTTCAATTATAAGTGCCCAAGTGGCCTTCATCCTGAATCAACTGTTTAAATGCCTTTTGGTGTTACTATTCTACTCTAATTAACTTGTGGGTTTTAGAATGTGGACTTGCAGTCACTAGAAGAATGTTTGTTTTGCAGGATACGTGCAGAAGATAACCGCTCGAAAGGACATTGACGTAATGGAGGATTTGGATAATGGAAAGCCACCATGACAAAATAATTTACAGTTTTCTTCTAGGTTTTTCCTTTCCTTACTTCGGGAAGTTATACTGTAACTACTTGATGAGTTGTATTCTTTAGTTACTGAAATAATCACAACTTATTCTTGTAAATCAACCTTTTACAATTGTAGACTGGAAAAAGAAAAACCTTCAAAGGAAATATAGGCTTTCGCAAAGAATTTATTCTTTTCCTATCCTGCTTTTCCTTCAAGTATCAATTTGTCGAGAAATAACTGATAACCCAAGATTTGCATGATGTCCAGTGGAAGAAATGGGAACTCACCACTTCCAGTTTCCACCTCTAATATAAAGACGTTATTCTTCTTCCATTCAACCGATCAGACCAATCCACCGTTGTGGTAAAAAAATTTCAAGTACTAGATTCCTTGATTTCCAGTACAACCTCTCAAGGAGAAAGTACCTGCACGCCATCTCATCCGCTTTCCTCCCCAAAAAGGCTCAATTCTGGACTGAAACGGGCTTTTGAGCCAAGCACAGATGAGATGAAGCCGGTATTTGACAAATTTGATTCCAACAGGGACGGGAAAATTTCTCAGCAGGAGTACAAGGCCACTCTGAAATCTCTAGAAATGGGGGGAAACTTAGCTCATGAACCGGGTGGTCGATCTGGACGGAGACTGTTTTATCAGTTTCGAGGAGTTTATGGAAGCCCTGAAGGTGGGTGGTGGGGTTAGAAGGGTGGACATAGAAAAGGCATTCAGGGCATTTGATAAAAATGGTGATGGGAAGATTGCAGCAGAGGAAGTTCAGGATGTGCTGGGGAGGCTGGGAGAAAGACGTAGGGTGTGTTTGGATTTCAATTGAAAAAAATTGATTATTAAAATATGATAGTGTTTGAATAAATTTTTAAAAATTGATTGTGATAAAGTTGATAATGTTTGGATAATTTTTTTTAAAATCAATTTTGAGTGAGTAATTCTACTATTTAAAGTGACAAGTTAATAATATTCAGAATTAATTTTTTAAAATGAAACAAATTTTAGCTTATTCCAAATGAAATTTTGAAAATCAAATGGAATTTGAAAAAATTGAGATGTTTGGATAAAAATTTTTAAAATTATGATTTTGAACTTAAAATTAATTCTAAAAGGATATCCAAATAGGCCTGCAATCTTGATGATTGCACCAAAATGGTGAGGGCTCTGGACACTGATGGAGATGGTATGGTTGACATGGATGAGTTCCTGGTCATGATGACTCAATCCTTGACACGGGGCTGAATCACTGGCCATTGTCAATGCACAAGGTGAATTTGGAAAGAGAGAAAACAGGAGTAAGAGTGAATTTAGATTCATTGAGCGACTCTCATTCACTATTTTACTCTGGATACCAGTTATGAAATTAAAAGCACAAATATGTAAACAGTTTGTCTTGTTATGCGTGACATGCTTTTATGCTCTTCACAGGATTGGTTTACATGTTCTTTTATAAACCATATGTATCTGAAGACTTTTCTATGTTATGGAATGGGAGTGTAGCTTTTCTTTTCTTTTTTTTTTAATAGAAGACACGGGCAAAACCGTAATGGGAGTATAGCTTAAAATTAAAGGATGAAAGATATTCCCCACTCGTAAATTGTAAATAATAATGATGATGATAAATGCTTGTGAACTCTTAGTACATGGGTTACTTTTGCTGCTATTCTCATTTTCTTGGGATTAGAGGAAGGAACAATCAAGCAGGCGAGTCCTGACGTTATTTGGACAAACAGTTTTATGCATTTTTATTTATTTACAATGTTATGAGATGAAATATAAACATCTTAAAATCATATAATTAATTCTCGTGCCGTATTTTCACCCCAGTAAAGAGTCACTGCGAAATATGTTGTGTCAAAATAGAGGGGCAAAACCCTGAAATTTTTAATGGCATCTCATTCACTCAATGTTTTGTTAATCATCACAACTAGATATTTTTAATTGCAGCTCACGAGTAGACCCGGTTCAGAAATGACGGTTTAAATAGTCATTTTTTCACTAGTCATTGGTTGAAACCAAGTGAGTTACTTTATAAGTTTTTACATTGTAAATGTGATAATTCTTGTTTTTTTTTTTTTCCAGAAAAGGCCAGATCAAGGCAACACAGAGAGCAGAGACTCACAAAATTGTGATTAAGGAAAGGACAACATAATCCACTTTATGAATTTCCATTGCAAGCCGATCCACGCAAGGGATAGCTTCTCTAGATGTGATAATTTAGAACATTAACTAATATTATTTTACTTTCCGAGGGAGTTTCTTTTTTGTTGGCCCTCTCACCAAAAATCTGTTACACCAAAGAAAGAGAGAGAGAGAGAATGCAAGGCCGACTAGGCAAAAGAAACATAACTGGATTTTTCTTTTTCTTTTTCTCTTTTGGTGTTAGGAGCACATTTTATTTTGCTTTCATATTGACAAAAAGCACTCAAACCTAAGTGCACAGAGAACTCACACAAAGTTTGAATCAGCATCAAGAGGCCCCGCGCTAGCCACACACACACCAAAAATAAAAAAAAAGCTCCCAATAAAATGCATTCACTTTCATCTTGTCATGCCAGGTGGAAGAGCTGGGGCTACTGTAACTGCAAACCTTCTTGACCTTTCCATGTTGGCTTCCCACCCTATACTTCAACCCATTGTCCAACAACAAATCATTAGCATGTTTACCCAAAAAAAAAAAAACATCATTAAACACTAAGAACAACAAGCACTTTGATTGTTCAATGGATCATCCTCTGTAAATTACCTATGCTGAGGTCAAATCCATAATTTTTCAGCTGTCTATATTCCTGACACAGAGCACAAGCTTCGCAGCAGAAATGAACCAAGCAATCCATACATGGGGCCTCTGGTAAGTCATATTGTGCCCTCATTTTTGATCGATAATTGCAAGAGTACAGGCATGCAAGTCCAGTGAGGGCCAATAACCCATAAGAAAGACCACTAGAAGAACAAGCTGCGCATAATTAAAATCAAAAGGAAGCCAAAGTTATTGCTTAATTACGCAAGCAACTTCAAACCATCATCTTGTAAATTTTGTTAATATGGTCATTAAAGTTTACCTCTCTATGGTTTGATCTAGATTCAGCTTCAAATCCATAAACTCTACCACAGGATTTCTTTTTTTTTTTTAGGCTAAAAGATTGTTTCATAGTGAATAAAAACATTTCATACTATAAATTGAAGACAAATTGGCATCAGATTAAACCAAAGATCGTGATTCTGCAGTGGCTTACACGGAGTGCCTTTATCTACAATCTCTGCAATGCGTCCAAACGTTAAACAAGGGCAGAAGCAAGTGACTAAACCTTAAGAAGAAAAAGAAGAAGCGAAGTTAACATGTGAATTGGGAATAGCAAAAGTTGAACACACACAAACACACACACACAATTAATTTCTAGGTTTCTTACATAGTGAAGGATCATCAACACAATGGAAAAGATCACTTGACCACTGAGGAGTGGCGACAGAATGCCTCATGATGATGGGAGGAGCAGAAGAAATTTGTGGAGTCCCATAATTTGGAAGGACATAACTTGGACGGCTATACCTGAATATATCTCTGGCTCATCTATTGTAGGATACATATGTTTCTGAGAATTTAGCAGATATCCAGAGGTTAATATGGCAGCATATAAATAGAATCAGCTTAGTCTAATATAATAACATTAACCTAATATGTGCGATTTCATGGAAATTAAAGATGTAGGCATTACATTACCCGGCTTCTTCTTGGCTCTGCAATTTCCTTGAACAATCTCACTGCAGGAAGATGAAAGGAAGAGGATAAGCAATCCTCATTTTCAGTCATGATCTGGTTGACTTGGTCATTAAGTGCCAGGATAGGCTTTCAACATTCAAAGATGATACTCTATGATTAACTGATTTATCAAATGCAAGGTGGAACATGAGAAATCATTTATTAATGTTATATTGCGATCAGTCAATTTTTGAGTCAACCAGAATGAGTTTTTTTTTTTTTTTTTTAAATTGGCTTGACAGTAACCTTCTTGTGAATTAATTTGAGTCAATGCAAAATTAGTAGATCAAGTTGCTTGGATTTACAAGGAAGTGATGGTGGCACAATTTTGCTGTCAACTGGCTTCTTGTGACTGTGGATTCACTTGTAAAAAACCATTTTTAAATAATGTGATTATATATAGAGAGATACTCACACATGCGTTTCGTTATTACTAACCAAAACTAACTCTGTTCTTATTATAGGTAACCATTAGTCTCTATCCAAGCAAATCATTGGAAATATATATATATATATATATATATGTAAGACATTTGCAGGCAAAAACTTTTCCTGGGTGTCATCATTCACGCAGACCTGTAGTTTATGAGATGAGAATAAAACAGTATAAAATAAACCAATAGAAATAAGGAAATCCAAGGGGAACAGAGGTAATATTATCACGTTTCGTTAATTTTTTTAGATCTTTTTGTTAATAATATATTAAAAAGTTTGATTATTAATCAAACATAATTATATTATGCAATTCATGTAATCAACCTTACCGTGAGGATTGTTGTCATAAGTTGATTTATTAACCAAGTTGCAATGTCTTGTTTGTACATATCAAAATAAAATTTATAATTCCATGAACTCTTACCCCAGTAGTTCCTCCTTGAATTATTTTTCTATCTTCAGTACATATCTACTGGCAAACGAAACAGCAACCAACTTAACTTTATATGACGTATCTCAACCCGAGTCCAGCGTGCTGTAACTTGTTCTAAATTAGCGGTATATTTTTGAGTAACGCTTCGTTTCTAGCAAGCGATCATTGTCATCAGTGATCAGGTTTTTTTCCCCCATTAATGCACAATCCACAGTATCATTATTCTTCTCCTTTCCTTTTGTTTTCAACCCAATGTACGACCAGCTTGTTTCTGCCTAACCTTGAATAATAATAATAATTGAACCCTTGCTACCTGATCGTCTTCTGGAAAGTAATACCTAGATTTACCGAATCTGCGGAATGAATTTCGCTGTTCACCTAAACAAACAATTCGGTTTGCTGTAAATTTGATAGTTTATTTCGATAAAATTGATCATTGGAATCGAGAACAGCTAGCAAAGTTATTTACGACCAGGCTCTTAACACAACAATATAATACAATGTGTGAAAAATATTTAATGAAGATCGATCCAATTATGTGATGCTACATGGCGATCAGTCACCTTTAAATGTGGTGCCTGTGAAAGTGAAATTAATTCGTTGCTTTCGTAGGTTGACATAATCATTCAGAAACGGCTTAGCTTAGTGTAGACTCTAGCTATAAAGTGCGGCTCTCATCTTTCTCATATCTTTTTGCTTTTGTTTTTTTATTCAGATCCATAGGTTTCGAATGTCTCGAGGAAGTGCGAATATGTTCTTATCTCTAAATATGGCTTTCATTATTAAGTCATCATCACTTGTGTCAGGGGTTCAGTGACATTTTTGTGCATACAAAGAATGTATACATGCATATAGCTTGTTGAGCCGGAAATGTAAACCTTCAATTAACTTCACTTCTAATCATATATATAAGCAAGTTTAACATCATAATTCATTGCTTAATATATAGATCTGTTATCTGTCATGCAACATTACAAATTTGAACTTCTTAATTTCAATCAGCTCCACAAATTTTATAATTAGTTTCAATCATTTTGTGATACTAAACATGAAGTTAATGGAAAGTGATGAAGCTGATGAGTACGTTGTATGAACTATTCCCCCTGATGAGAGAGATGAAATGTGAATTGCTTATAATTAACTGCAGGTTGCTATCAGGGCAAGATTCAGAGAACCCAACGAATAAAATAAGGGTTTCTTGATCTGACATAGTAAAATGAGCCTCGAGCTTTGAGAATGCTTAATTATGATATTAATCAGAATAATTAATTAAGAAATTAAAAGCAAATGGATTGCAAGAGACAAGCTTTGCCAGGTCAAGAGGAGACCAAAAGGGAGACAAGCTCTCAGTCCTAACCTTCTGTCATGCAACCTATGAGGACGTTTATGCAACGTCCAGGATTTGACCATTACATACGTGTTTACAGATGCCAAACACTAAAACATGAAGCATCAACAAAAATTTAACATATTTAAATGGGATTAATTTAGTTTACTTGATGTTTATGTAGATTTAGATCGCGTTAGAAAGTTATTTGGAGTGTGTGTGTGCGTGTGTGTGTGTGTGTGTGTAAACATACATGTGAAAGGCACATGAAAAGGAGACACGTGAAGGTCAATATATTAGTTTCAACAGAGAAAGATTCTTTTGACAAATGAATTATCATTAAGGAGTATATATAATAATGGAGTTAAAGTTGCATGCTTTGTACGTATATACATTTTCCATCCTTGTGCTTACAACTATCTTTTTCTTATTAAAATATACAAAAGGAAGAGTATAGCAATGCTCTGTTTGTTAATTAGGAATCTCAAGCCCACATGGCCTTCAAAATTCAAATACTGAGCATCTTCTAGCTATTTCATCAAAGTGAAAATCAAATCCTCATATTAAAAATTCAACTCCATGTTAATTCGTTTTACTAAGTTCACTTCTTTCCCCTTCAACACCTTTATTATTTACTTTTTCAAAGCTGGGTCAGGGGAAAAAAAGTATCTTTTTATGATTGGAAATTTTATTAGCCAAGTTAACGAAAGTACTTTTGTAAAGCATTAAGCTCGAGTATAAATTTTATAAAGTAGCTAGGCTTGTAAACTTGTAGAATTTGTATATCAAGAACAAGTTTGCCTCATAGGACATAGCTCATGTTTGAAAGAGATTCAATTCCTGCATTGCTTAACTCAAACATTATAAATAAAACTATAATGGGACGCTTTTAGATTTTAGTTATTTAATTAACAAAAGGCCATTATATAGACTCAATAGTCAAAATCACAGGCATAAGTTGTGTCCTTATTATTAGTATCACCCATTAATTTTTAAACATATTTCTTGCGATGGGTCAATAATTGTTTTTGTTATATATCCCAAAAGAACTAAAGTGAATACGAGACCCACATTCCTAGCATAAAATGACAAATCCAAGCAACATGTTATGTCCACTAAAAGGAACTAAACACGAGAATCCATCCCCACATTATATATAAATGTCCAAACATCTTCATGTGAAATCCAGCCCTTCAACTTGAAGGAACACAAAAAGCGAAAGTTGCCCTAACCCTCACATGAAACTGCCCATGCCATGCTTAAACATGTCTAAACTAAAAGCAACAATATCACTAACCCTTGTTGCACTGTGTATCTAGTGCATTATCCTTTTGCTTCTTTCAAGCTAGCTAACTTGCTACTTCATTCGACTATGGACCCAAGAATCTCCTTCTCCAGTGATTTTGTGGATGCCCAGCAAGCCATCAATATGAAGCGTGAAAACATTTACAGAGAAGCTCCTGTGTCTTCGGATTTCGAATTCTGTGTGAAGAACTATGCCATGATCTCAGCAGATGAAGTGTTTTCCCAAGGCATGCTTTTGCCCAACAACAAATCCATGACGTCCAAGAAGATGACGACTACTCTGAGAGATGAGCTTCTTGTGAGTGATGACTCGTACGATGACGTATTGCCAAGAGTACCGAAGAGCTCAAGCAGATGGAAGGAGAGGCTGGGCTTAAGAAAGAGTACTTCTAACAAGGATAAGAAGAGTTGCAGTACCGATGGGTTTCTGCAGAGAGTAGCTGAAAATGAAAGGCCTAGCAAAGACAATCAGGTAATTAGAAATTTGTTTTCGTATTGGCTGTTAATTTGAAGAATTGAACCCAATTTGATGAGAGAGAGACATCATCTGCTCTTAAACCTATTTGAGTGTAAATGTGTCCCTTTTCTGTTCACTACTATTATGTGCTAAGCGGTGGGATATAGAGTAGTAAATTTTGCAGACATAGATATTATTAAACCAGTTGCTTTACTTTGTCACAGGGACTATTTTATGGAGGTGGTCAGAAGATGTGCTGAACTTTATATTATTGGTCGAATCTCCAGGAGGGAGTTTCATTCTTGTGAAGATTTTCCGAGGGGTTTGTTAGAATTTGTGCTGACTTTATTCACAAAAATCTAGACTAGACTTGCAAATTAAGTGATGTTTCTTATCCATTAACTAGAAGTAGAAAGATGCATGGTACCTTTAGCAGTTTGATCATTGTACAAATGTTTGCAGTAGTAGATCGTTATTGGTTTATATATGTAATATGTCCAATTCCTTATGGAGGGATCGACCACTCGTTTTCTAGCAACAAGTTATTGTTATATGTCTGCCGAGACATGTATTACTTCTTCGTTATCAGATTCTTTCAAAAAGTTAGTGAAACAAATGCTGGGTGATAGATTATCTGTCTTCCACTGTTAGAGAAAAATGCGAAACGAGATAGAAGGAAATTTGTAATTTCTGTTCTTGTACCACAACTGAGAAGAAACCAACAGTAATCTTTGAACAGCTGAACTTCAACTTGACTGAATCATTTTTATTTTAACAGCACCTAGGAACCTTAGTATTTTAAAACGAGCATACCGACTTGTTAAAATTTCATGCATATGATTTGAAAGAATCTTGAATTCGTGACATAAGGATATTATAAGCTTTTGACTTTTTTTTTTTAATCACATTGGGAAGGTTTCAGCTCAAAAATTGGCACCCCTTCCAGCCCTTTACCATCATGTCATGTTGGGCTGAAGATGAGATGGAACAAGAATTCTTAATTTGCATAGCCAAAGGAATAATTTGCATAATTTGGCACTTCGTTTTAGCAACACTCATTGGATAGATTACTACTTTCAATTTTTTTTTTTTTTTGATAAGGATTACTACTTTCATTGTGAATATGAATCATGCGGTCTAAAACATGTAATATAAATATTATTGCATTTAATATTTTTTGTTGGTTAACCTAAAATATCCTCATAATCAGTAACTATAAAACTAATCTCTTAAGATCATACGTCACATTGAATTATTTAATACTCTCCTTGTTAAGTATAAAATATTTGTAATTAATGTACATTCTAACCAAGTTAATTGATGATATTTAAAATTATAAATTTTTATATATTTACTTTTATTTAATAAACTGTCTTAATTAAAAAAAATTATTAACTACACCCATTATTAAATATATACTTTAAAAAACTATATTAATTACACTATCCAAATATTTAATACTTTTGAACATAAAATACATGCTTTAACCGACTTTAATTGACCATTTAGGGAAGATAGTATTCAAAATTAATGCATTCAGCTAAATTTTTTCAACATAAACAAAACACCTAACAATAAGTATCCATTTTAAATTATAATCAAAACATTTTCTTGCGATTTGGGGAAAAATTGAGCGTTAATTAAAGTCATCTCATGGTGAAGCCTTCCATCCATCATAGCCAGGTCTCAATAATAATTAATAACAGAACATGCGTACATTTAATGAAAAATAAAAATGCTTTACAGATTTATGAATTGCCCTTGACCTTGATCGCAATTTCTAATGGCATAAAAATCAATAATAAATAGTTTTCTGCATTGTTATCGATATGCTTGCCAACTCAATCACAAGCAAAAAAACAATGAAATGCCCTGCAAAATCAGTAATCCAAATACTCAAAATCATTCTTCTACAATCTCTTCTAAAATTATACAATTGGAAGCATAGTAACAAGCGTGTGCTATTTACAAAAAAAAAAATAACGGCAATATACATTGATATCTTGAAATTAAAAGAATGATATTATGTACACAGTTAGTTATGCTAAATTGCAAATGGAAGCCCTATGCTTAGAAGATATCCCCAGATAATGAGAATAGAAAGCACTCTCCATTATTTACAGCATTTACAATTCCTCTGACAAAAGAATACGCTAACTGGTCCCACTACTATACATCTGCAGCCAATCAAAAGATTCAATTAATACCATGAGAAAGATCCAATGAAACTTCAGATATTATTCATCTCAAGTGATTATCACAAGACATCACATACAGACTCAAATTGTTCATTATGAGAATCATGAGGGAAAAAAGTACCCCCCCCAAAAAAAAAAAAAACCAAAAGAATGGTAAGAGAAAAAAATTAGCTTGATTGTAACTATCATTATTGTTATCTTTGGTAAAAACACTCAGCTAACGGTCCCATAACTTGGTGCTCCTCCACTTGATATTATTGATGCAGTTCTTTATTCCTTCTAAATAAATCTTCCCAATATAATAATATATGATTTAACACAAAAATATGTTAGCTAGAAAAGAGGCCCAACTCACATGATACATGACACCTCACTCCATGGAGAGCCCTTCGGATCTCCTCGCCTGGTCAGTGAAGCAAAAGGAACAATCAGTCAATCCTTCCTTATATGATATTCTGCACATAGAATTAAGAAACATTTCATTCCATAGTTGTAACACCATGAATGCATTACCAAGAGACAATCATCTGTAGCCAATGGCACCTGTAATCAGTCTTCTTCCCAAGGTTGTGATGGACAATATTTCTCCATGGACTCCTTTTTACGTTCGGGATCAAGGCTGAAAAAAATTTGTCGGTAAATAAACTCCAAATTATTTGGGAATTGCTAAAATATGGAACTCTAAAACAAGAATTACTTCAAATCAAGACAATTTTATCTGACCTATTTCTGATGCCAAGAAGAGCATAATGTACAGCACTAGCACAAGCAGAAGCAGGAGCTATGGCAGCTGCAGGAACTGCTCGAATAGCAGCTGCCAGGGCAGGCCCTGCACCTGAGCCGCGTTGATATTTTTTCAAGGGGCTCTGAACTAACACAGCAGCAGATTTTCCCAGGCCATCACTGAGGCTCTCATAAGCCTGAGAAATCAATAAGTGCTTTAGCAAAAGCTTAGCCAAAAACCTCATTTTCTGAAACAAATACTATTTTGCTTTAAAATAAGCATGTCTAAGAAGATAACTTCCACAGGAGGGCCAATCAATTTGGACTCTTCTGATGAGAATATTAACATTCATGTGCACGCAAACATGTTCTCAATAAGATACAAAATTCCATTCCCCCAAGCCCCGGGGGGATAGGAGGAGATGATTGTTGAAGCAAAAGAAGATCATGAAGGCAGAGGGTGAGGGATCATCCTTGAGGCAAACAGAATAATACACAAGCAGCAGGGAGGGAGCTGACATCATTCCTCCTTTTTCATTCAACAAATGCAGGAATTAGGTTAAACAAAACATCCAATTATGTGAGAAGGAAGTATAGATACCAACTTGCTTGAAACTTCACCTGTTTAATACCATGGCGGGCATCATGAGGCTGATTCGATCGAATGTCTGTTAACGGCGATGCTACAGAAGTAGCGAGTATATATTCTGCTTGTAACAGAATGTCATGGGCTCCCGCAGCTAAATGTACTCCAAGTCCAACAGCTTCAACAGAAATGCTTCTAAGAAATGCAATTGTACCTACAAAGCAGATTGACCATTATGATGGCAACTAACAAAAAAATAGAAGAGAATCATTAATGCCCAGAAAAATAAACAAGTCTTGCACAAGTTAAAATTAACGCAGATGTTGGTAAAGGAAAAAGGGCAGCAAAAATGAAATCGTCCAATTCTTGCTAACATAGACGCAAAACAAATTGACTAGTAAAAACATGATTGTTTTTCCTAGCAAAAAGGGGGTCCACATTTCCCTAACCCCAAAGCACACTTTCAGACATGCTAACAAAGCCAGAATAATCTCCTTATAAATGGAAGTTTCACCCTCGAGCAAAAGATTGCTATAAATGTAAATAAATATTAAGCTGTTTCAAATACAAATTTAATAAACATTGAGACCTTACCGCACTTTATAAAGTTTTCAACATACTGTAAAACATATATGAAAATATTTGTTGAGTTGGTTGAACTAAATGAATACCCTATTGACCACAGTTGGTGTGATGGCATGAATGCCTATTCAACCATAACTGATATCTCTCATACTTTACATTTAATTTTGAAATTTACTATACATGTACCAGATTCTATAACCATGCTAATAAGTGTAATAGTATAAATACTAAAATTCAACAGTTGAAGAGTCCAGCAACAGTGGAGTGAGAGCAGAAGTCCTATATTCCCATATTTTTTTGGGAGCCACCACATACATGAGGAAATATTGGCTTTCAAAATTGCTTGCCCTACCAGCAGATTGTTCAGTTCAAAACATGATTTAAGAAATCAATAATCAATAATTAAAATAAAATTGAGAAAAACCTACTGTTACTTGTGATCCCTACTTTTTCTTCCCAAAAGAAGACAAATTATACAGAGGAATCACAAAGATAGTGTTATCTAGCATACCTCTCTGCATACCCTTGAGCACCCTCCGCTCCTTCTTGTAGTTCTCTAATGGGGATGAAACCAGCTTAGCAGCACCATCTCCCACTGCAATTAATGACCGTACAGCAGGAAGGCCCCGCAGTATTTTATGAATCTACAGATTGAAGTATGAGATAAAAACCATTAATCAAGAGGAAAGAATCCTCACGAGAAGAAGGAAAATAATTTCTGTCACTAAACCTGATTATGAGATATATCTTCCAACCATTCCCCAACAATTGTTTCACGAACACTGCCCCATCCATAGATGCCAGCTGCATCAACATGCTTCAGATTTAGCTCAACCCCCTGGCCAAATTAAGTAAGCATATTATCAGATATTTCCAACAACGCGACCTATGACTGATAAGGCAATAATTGATGCTCAACACCAAACTATCAGGTGGCAAGTTAAGCAGTAAATGAAATAAACACAAGGGAAGCTGTACTCCTAATAGAAACAGGACAAAAGGAGCAAATATTACCTTCCAGGGAACAAGATTTACAAGTTCCACATACTTCCCACATCTCAATGCAGCTAGATCTACATGATGGGGACTGTAGTCCACCCGGACAAGGATAGGCCCTACATCAAGCTTCTGTAACCAAAATCAATATATAAATATGCTTTTATGATAAGTTAGAACAACTCCAGGGAAGACTGTCCAAACATTCTATAAGATCAAGGTAGAGTTAGATGCTGACTAGATCATAAATCTTCTCAAACAGGTCCCTCACCATAAAATCGATTAATAAGTTAAGATAATTGATCATAGCAACATGACGAATTATATAGGGAAAAGCCTTTCTAAAGTTAGTTGTAAAAACACATTGATTAGATTTTTACACTTCTTTTCAAATAAATACAGCACACTAAATTATTAAAAAGGAAAAAAAAAAAGAAATG